AGAGAAACTTGTTATCCATATCCCTGCCAGCAATAAATATTACTGCTTTAATTTTTTTCTTTTCTTTTTTTTCATCCTCTCCTGTTAATGTGAAGTGATATAATGGAAATTTTAAGCTTGAAATCCACAGATTAGAAACAGGCTGGTATGGAATCAAGTCCATCAATCTGGCTCCTTCATAGCGCTGGATGTTACTGAAACAGGCGAAATACACTGCAGATCTTTGTTTGGACAGAATCTACTACCCACCCTTTGTTTTTTTAGCAGATGGTTAGAACTGCTTGTCCAATGTGCCATGGCCATATATGCCATCTACAGATGATCCTTAGAACCTGCTGTTCTTCCAAAGGTACTAGAAAGTATTCAGTATAAAAAGACACTGCTTCAGTACTTTAAGTGTGCTCTTATATCTTCATGATTATCACGAAAACACCTTCTGTCATTAGCATCATTGTTTATCACAGTTCTTTAACTTACCACCAAAATTTCAAATTGCTACTATCTTAAATTCTCTTCTTCTTCATTTTTTAAAAAATATTACTTATTTGTTAATTCATGGCTGTGCTGGGTCTTCGTTGCTGGGTGCGGCTTTCTCTAGTTGGAGGGCGATGGCTTCTCATTGCGGTGACTTCTCCTGTTGCAGAGAAGTCTCTAGGGTGTGTGCACCCAGTAAGTGCAGCTTCTAGGCTCCAAATGTGGGCTTATTAGTTGTGGCACATGGCCTCAGTCCCCAGACATGGGGAATCGTCCCAGACCAGGGATAGAACTGGTGTTCCTTGCATTGCAAAGTTGGATTTTTAACCACTGGACCACCAGGGAAGCCCCTTCCCTCTGTTCAAATTTACTACCTTTAGTTTTTATTCTTGGGTTACAAAATGCATTGATTTTTATCTGCTTACCATTTTAAACTTTTATCTTTTTTGTTTAAATATTTTTGTTCGGTGTAATTCTTTTTAACCTCATGGTTACTGTTTCTTACTTTCTTCCTCTTTTGGTTTTTGTCCCTTTTGATCTTATAAGTTTTCTGATTTTATCTGTTATCTTCTTTTTGTATCCTTGGTTCATAAGTAGCAAGCAATAAATCTAGTTAAAGAGACAGATCCAAAAGGTTGTGCTGATGATTTGATCACAGATAGAGAGGGAAAGGAAGGAATCAGTGTTGCAACCTAACAGTTTAGCATATGAGAGAAAGGATGTGATTTACAAAGGTAGGAAAAACAGAGAGGAATATTTTGGAAAAAAAAAATAAAAGTTTCTTCACTATCACTACTGCTTCATAATAAAAGAAAGAGTACTTAAACATTTTTTTTAAAGACATAAGTGCATACATTTTTATATGAAAACTTTGTTTTCTAAAAAATTCACTAGATAGTTCATTTTTTTCTTTTTATTTTGTTGTGATTGGTGAAAACTTCTGGCATTTGGGAACACTTACTGTAGATAACGAAGGATTTATATTTCAGGAAAACACACTGTGGTATCTACATAGAGAACAGTTTGAAAATGCTTGAAGACAGAAAGCTCCATTAGACTGGAAACTATGAAGGTCAATTACAACTGGATAAGGTGAAACAGAATGATAATAGGGGACCAGATGTTGAAGTTTTGCCTGTTGTCAGTAGATGAAAGAAGCTTTTGCTAAGACTGAAGTGGTTGGGCATTATTTTTTTAAGAAAAGGTGATAAGTCCATGAGTTAATGGTATTTAGCTGTTTTAATTGGCATATTCAATTTTCTGAGCTCCAGAGGCTTGTCCAGTCAACATTTTGTCTTTACTTAGTACTGTTTTATCTAGTATGGCTTTGGTAGCCACATCAGTTCAGTTCAGTCGCTCAGACGTGTCGGACTCTTTGCGACCCCATGCATCGCAGCACGCCAGGCCTCCCTGTCCAAAACCAACTCCCAGAGTTTACTCAAACTCATGTCCATCGAGTCGGTGGTGCCATCCAGCCATCTCATCCTCTGTCGTCCCCTTCTCCTCCTGCCCCCAATCCCTCCCAGCATCAGGGTTTTTTTTCCAATGAGTCAACTCTTCGCATGAGGTGGCCAAGCTGGAGTTTCAGCTTCAGCATCAGTCCTTTCAATGAGCACCCAGGACTGATTTCCTTTAGGATGGACTGGTTGGATCTCCTTGCAGTCCAAGGGACTCTCAAGAGTCTTCTCCAACACCACAGTTCAAAAGCATCAATTCTTCAGCACTCAGCTTTCTTCACAGTCCAACTCTCACATCCATACATGACCCCTGGAAAAACCATAGCCTTGACTAGACAGACTTTTGTTGGCAAAGTAGTGTCTCTGCTTTTTAATATGCTATCTAGGTTGCCACATGACTTCAATTAAATCTTTATTTATTTCTCTATTTATTTAGATTTATTTAGTTGCCCCTGGTTTCAATTGCCACAGGCAGGATCTCTGATCTTCATGGTGGAATGCAGAATATTTTTTTTTCTTTTCAGTTGTCTTATACAAACTCTTAGTTGCCGCATGGCATCTGGTTCCCTGAGCAGGGATCTGACCTGAATCCCCTACATTGGGAGTATGGAGTTTTACCCACTGGACCACCTCAATTAAATTTTTAAAAGTAATAAAAGTATAGTAATTTGTAAATGTTTTAGATACATGTTAAATATTATCTTCAACAATGAGGCCCTGAGTTCCTTATAAGCAAGAGAGCCTTCCTTTTTGTACAAAGGTATCCTATGCCTTGGAGACCAGAATTGGAGTTGCTCACCCCCAAAATGGGTGTATCAGAGGATTCTTGAGGATACTTAATGAACTAATGGATGTGTAAATAAGTGGCTCAGTATACATTAGCTATACTTATCTTTCTCCTCGTCTTCTTCCAATGCACCAGTACTGGATATCCACAGTTCAGTTCGGGTGCTCAGTCACGTCCAACTCTCAACCCCATAGACTGTAGTAGGCCAGGCGTCCCTGTTCATCACCAGCTCCCAGAGCTTGCTCAAACTCATGTCCATTGAGTCAGTGATGCATTCCAACTATCCCATCCACTGTCCTCCCCTTCTCCTTCTGCCTTCAATCTTTCCCAGCATCAGGGTCTTTTCCAATTCTTCTCTTCCCATCAGGTGGCCAAAGTACTGTAGCTTCAGCTTCAGTCCTTCCAATGAATATTCAGGACTGATTTCCTTTAGGATTGACTGATTTGATCTCCTTGCAGTCCAAGGGACTCTCAGAAGTCTTCTCCAACACCACAGTTCAAAAGCATCAATTCTTCAGTGCTCAGTTTTTTTATGGTCCAACTCTCACATCCATACAGGACTACTGGAAAAATCATAGCTTTGATTAGCCGGATCTTTGTCAGTTAAGTAATGTCTCTACTTTTTAATATGCTATCTAGGTTGGTCATAATTTTCTTCAAAGGAGCAAGTGTCTTTTAATTTCAAGGCTGCAGTCACCATCTACAGTGATTCTGGAGCCCAAGAAAATAAGGTCTATTACTGTTTCCATTGTTTTCCCATATTTGCCGTGAATTGATGCTTTTGAACTGTGGTGTTGGAGAAGACTCTTGAGCATCCCGTGGACTGCAAGGAGATCCAACCAGTCCATCCCTAAAGGATATCAGTCCTGAATATTCAATGGAAGGACTGATGCTGAAGCTGAAACTCCAATACTTTGGCCACCTGATGCAAAGAACTGGCTCATTGGAAAAGACCTTGATGCTGGGAAAGATTGAAGGCGGGAGGAGAAGNCTATGAACAAAGCTAGTAGAGGTGATGGAATTCCAGTTGAGCTATTTCAAATCCTAAAAGATGATGCTGTGAAAGTGCTATACTCAAAATGCCAGAAAATTTGGAAAACTCAACAGTGGCCACAGGACTGGAAAGGTCAGTTTTCATTCCAATCCCAAAGAAAGGCAATGCCAAAAAATGCTCAAAATACCTTACAATTGCACTCATCTCACATGCTAGCAAAATAATGTTAGAAATTCTCCAAGCCAGGCTTCAACAGTATGTGAACCGTGAACTTCCAGATATTCAAGCTGGATTTAGAAAAGGCAGAGGAACCAGAGATCAAATTGCCAACATCCACTGGATCATCAAAAAAGCCAGAGAGTTTCAGAAAAACATCTACTTCTGCTTTATTTATTTATGCAAAAGCCTTTGACTGTGTGGAGTTGGTGATGGACAGGGAAGCCTGGCGTACTGCAGTCCATGGGGTCCACACAGAGTTGGACATGATGAGTGACGGAACTGAACTGAACACAATCAAAGGCTTTAGCAGGGTCAACGAAGAAGTAGTTGATATTTTTCTGAAATTTTCTTGCTTTTTCTATAAGCCAATGGATGTTGGCAGTTTGATTTCTGGTTCCTCTGCCTTTTCTAAATCCTGCTTGAACATCTGGAAGTTCTCCGTTCAGGTACTGCTTAAGCCTAGCTTGAAGGATTTTGAGCATTACCTTGCTAGCATGTGAAATAAGCACAATTGTGCGGTAGTTTAAACATTCTTTGGCATTGTCTTCCTTTGAGATTGGAGTGAAAACTGCCCTTTTCCAATTCTGCGGCCACAGCTGAGGTTTCCAAATTTCTTGGCATTTCCAGTGCGGCACTTTATTTAACAGCATCATCTTTTAGGCTTTGAAATAGCTCAGTTGGAATTCCATTACCTCCACTAGCTTTGTTGGTAGTGACGCTTCCTAAAGCCCACTTGACTTCGCACTCCAGCATGTCTGGCTCTAGGTGGGTGATCACACCATTGTGGTTATTTGGGTCATTAAGAGCCCTTTTGTATAGTTCTGTGTATTCTTGCCATCTCTTAATATCTTCTGCTTACCCACAGAGCCAGTTAAACCATACACTCCATGAATGAATGACCATAAGACGAAGAGGTTCATGTTTTGGAATTTTCAGGGCTTGGAAAGCAGGAGTCTATCAGCATCTTTGAAATAGAATGTTAATAAAGTTTTGTTAATAGCGCCCACTAAACTACAAGTCCCAGCTTCCTCTTACAAAGTGACGAGTCACGTGGCCGGCTAGGAATCCGGAAGTCTGGCCCGCCTGCCTAATCACGCCGGAGAAACCTACAAAGTGGTGCCAGGCTGGCCAATCCTGCGGATGTTTGTTCCAAGCCCGGTCCCGCCTCCGCGCGCTGCGCTGACTGGTCGTTGGCGGATACGGTGGCTGCTGAGGCGGTGACGGTGGCTTCTTCCCCGCTCTGCGCCCGCTTCCGCGCGCGTCCCGCGGCTCCGATTCCACCATGGCTCCCAAAGGCGGCCCCAAGCAGCAGTCCGAGGAGGACCTGCTCCTGCAGGATTTCAGCCGCAACCTCTCGGCCAAGTCCTCGGCGCTTTTCTTCGGGAACGCCTTCATCGTGTCCGCCATCCCCATCTGTGAGCGCTTGGAGCGAGACGGGCTGGGCTGGGCTAGGCTGGGCGGGGACGTGGCAGCGCCGTGCGGAGGGCGAGGCGTGCGCCGGAGCCCGCGCTGTCCCCCCGCTGTCCCCCAGCTCCCCCTGGACCGGGGGCTGCACGCAACCTCTGTGGGCCTCCGCGATCTGTCCGGGATCGTGGTGGGTGGCATCCCAGGAAAGTCGCTGTAGCACGTTGTAAAAGTAGCCTAGCTCATCCCCGGGCCTCGGGTCTGCGGATTGTGAGTTACTGCTTCTGCGATGGCGGCCTCAAATCTGTATTTCAGCCAACACCCGGGTTAGGATCTTGTGATGCTAACGGGCATATCGCCTGTTCTCCCCCTACCCCCTCGCCCTGTATAACTATCGTTTGCTGTTACGAGATCTTAAACTTTTTACTTACTTTGGAGAATACTCATGAATTAAGGTTAGAGACATTAACATTCGCACTGAATTATAAGTGTAGCTTTAGAACTGCTGCACACAGAACGTTATTTTCCGAAAGAAGCTGGACCAGTGCCAAAGTCCCAAGCTCTACTGTGGTTAAACTTTTTAATAATTCTGTTAGGCAATTCTAGAATTCTTACTTGAATGGAGAAACTTTACAGCCTTGGCCAAGGTTGTTTTTAGATTTTAGGAATCCCAAATGTCAGTTTCCTCTCTACTACATTGTTGCGCTGTTGTTGGGCAGATCCAGATGTATTTTCCCTCCCGACTTTATAAAACCCAGCGTGCAATTAACATGGTTCGCTGACCGCACTGAGCATTGCCTCGATTTCAGATAACAGCCACGTCAGCGTGTGAACTCTGGTTTGGGAATACACGTGGAGTCTCGTAATGACTTGTAGTTCGTGTGATAGTACCCTGAAGAATGAAATTTAAAGTCTGAATCGTGATTTTGTTGAGCCGAAGTTCTCATTCTAGAAGCAGCAGAAATCTCATCATGGACTAGTTATAGTAAGGTTATGTTTTTCGAGTATTCTGAACTAGAAACACTTGAGACTTTTTACTGGATATCACACTTATGAAGTTCTTCTTACACTGTATTGGATTCCCTGATCCGGGCTGTATTTTACCAGGTTTAGCTATAATTATTAATAACTCAGCAGGTTTCTGTACCAGGGTGGTAATGTTTTGTTTCTTTTTGTATTCCCCCACCCCCTTTTATCTTAATTCAGGGCTATATTGGCGAATATGGCATATGGATCTTATTCAGTCTGCTGTTCTGTATAGTGTGATGACCCTAGTAAGCACTTACTTGGTAGCCTTTGCTTACAAAAATGTGAAATTTGTTCTCAAGCACAAGTAAGTATATTTCTCAAGTGAAAGTAAATATTGTTGCATTTTTATATAGTAGGGTGACTTCTGAAAGACCATTTGTGTGTGTGTGTTTTGGTAACATTAATTTGAGATACATTTTTATGTATATTTGGGGGGAGATATGTGTATGTATATTTGGATTAATTTGAGATATATGTGTGTGTATATACACATATATGTTTATATTTGGGGGAGATAGATGTGTATGTACATTTGGATTAATTGGGAATATATGTGTATGTGTGTTTGGGGGGTATGTATATATGATTGCAAAATATGTAATCATAAATAATGGTATGAAGGAATAGCAACTAACTGAAAAGCAGAGACAGTGCTGCTAACACTGCTATGGAAGTGGGTGTTGAGGTTGGAATTAGGACACTTAAGTACTAGCCTTAATCATGGGGCTCAGAAAAGCAAACCCACCAAGTAAATTAACATTTTAAAAGTCAAATGGAATTCTGGAAAGAATTGTTCTGGACTCTCCATGTGGAATTTTTGGATGTGAAAGAAGTGGTCTTTTTTCTTTTACTCAACCCTGACATTTTTAATGCTAATTAGACCACCATATTTCCTCTGTTTCTTCCTTCATTTTGTCATGTCACTCTCCTAATAACTCTTCATGGCATTCTCTTTTCTAGAAGTATTAAAACCAGATTCCCCAGGCCCTTGGAATGTGACTCCTCTGCCTCCTACCAGGCGGGCCTCATCTTTCAGGATTGGGGCTTAGGGCTTCCAACTCAGCCTTGTGTCATCCTTTGAGCATGGCTCCTCCCCTCCCTCGTTTAGAAACATCTCCCTTTCTTTCCATTCTTACATGTCTGTTATTTTAAGCCTTAGGAATCCTTTCCAGAGAAATCCTAGCTGTCTTTATTGTTCCTGTGTCAGACTTTCTGGTGATGAGGAGCAGAAACACCTTGAGATGATCTCAGTTAACAGGGATTATTGTAAGCCTCCCCACTGTCGTCCTGGATCCGTAGGAGTCTAGGTTGTGCCTGACAGTTGCTGGAACAGCTAAATCCAGGTCATCTCTGTTGTCTCCCTGCTTGGCAGCCCCTCTTCACCAGCTGCCATTTCAGAATTCAGCCCATCTCGGCCTCTGCCGTCCTGGGCTGTCCTCATGAGGCATGGCCCTCTGTGGATATAGTGAAGTCCTCAGAGTGGGTTTTGCACGAGCCATCCTTTGTGATTCCGTTGGACCTTGGTCTCTTTGGGACCTAGCATTTTTTCACTTGTTCTACATATAATTTTTCATTCACCTTTTTGGAGTCAAAAATCATGCTCTTTCCCCTCAGTTTTACTTCCCGCTTCTTGAGCACAGCTTCCATGTCCTTTGTTTATTTTTCTTACGATAGTTAGTGATACATTTTGTTTAGTGCGGTGAAATTTCAGTGATCTCTGCCTGTAATGCAGAAGACTTGGGTTCATTCCCTGGATAGGGAGGATTCCCTGGAGAAGGGAATGCCTACCTACTCCAGTGTTCTTACCTGGAGAATTCTATGGACAGAGGAGCCTGGTGAGCTACAATGCATGGGGTTGCAAAGAATTGGACAAAACTGAACGACTAACAATTACATTTACTGACTTAATAGGATCTCTGAGTGGAATTATATTTTAGTCATCATTGTTTTGGTTTAATATTAAATATTGCTACCGACAGAGAAACTCCAGATTGGTAAGATTGTTAAGGCTTAAAGAGCCAGCAAGATGCTGAGTGTGGGTAGGTGTTGGTGGTAGAGGGAATGGTTTCGGAGTCTGTAGTCTGTATTCCAGTTCCCACTCTGCTCCTCTGAAGTGCAGACCCTTGGGCCTGCATTTTATCTTTTGACACTTCAGATTTCTGGGCTGTAAAACGGGAGTAGTAATAGTACCTCTTGGGATGGTCAGGATTAAATGTGGTACGTGCGACATGTAAAGCATGGTGATCGGCATGTAATAAATGTTTGTGTGCGGTGTCGGAGAGGTTGGAGGCGAGAGAGCGCATAGGAATTTCTTTTAAGATGGTATGATTTTTAAGTTGTTTATGAAGACTTTTTTTTTTTAATCTCATTTGGCTGGGTGCTGGGCCCCTGGATTTGCCCCAGTCTGTTTCAGGCATTGAGTGATGAGAGATTTGTTTTCTGAGAGCACTGAGATGGAGGGTAGGGCCGAGCTGTAATAAACCTACAGTGTAGTTGTCAGTGTCTCTTCAGGCAAGTACAGAATTTTAGACATAGAAGAGAAGTTAGTTATCTGGGTCAGTGTCTTCAGGACAGATGACTGACTGCTTGTCTGAGACACGCCTAGAACCAGCTGTTAGGAAAATAGTTTATTATTATGTCCTAGCATCCTGACAGTTGGGGGGGTGTGTGTGTCTACGTACGTGTGTGTTTTCCCTCTGTGTGTGTGTGTGTGTGTGTGTACGTACGTACGTACGTGTGTGTTTTCCCCCTCTGCTCAGCTAAGAAAGATTTTTGCTCTAAGCCATGTCCATTTCTTACCAGTTGGCCTTTCTTAGAAAAAAGCAGTCTTATGTGAAGTTCAAGAAACATTTAGTGAGTGCCTTGGATTTGCTGGAGATTAAGAGATGAGAGTCTCTGCCTGCAGAACAGAATTTTACGTTAATACAACGAGCCAGGGATAGCAGGGCATTATAACGTTCTATTTAGTGTCTTAAAGTAGCTCTTAAAATAGCTACCTGCTCCCTTAGCTGCTATTTTCTTTACATTTCAGAACCTATTTCCTTTTACCTATTTTCTAACTGGCTTTCCTCCCTCCAATTACCAATTTGTGGAAAAATACATTAGTCAAAGCTGACTAAAGATTTTGTTTTTAACAGTGTCACTTCTAACTTGATTATTGAGTGAGAGATAGATAAAATCAACCCAAATTTGGGCCTTCTCAGGAGGTTCAGTGGTAAAGAATCCACCTGCCAATGTAGTAGATGTAAGAAACGCAGGTTCGATCCCTGGGTCAGGAAGATCCTCTGGCGTAGAAAATGGCTTAATTTGTAGCCCAGAAGCCCATGTGGTTGAAGGTTGAAAACTATTGCTGTTCATGATCTTGGACTTTTCAGGAATCCATCCTGATTTTTCCACAGTTTTCCTTGGTCCACTGACCAGAACTTAATGTAGTGTAGTAATGAGGGATTGGAACATGGATTGAACAGATATCTGTCTCTGTGGTCTACATCTGTGGCTTTTAATACATCTCAGTATTGTGTTGAAAGTTTTCTTAGTGAGACTTTGTAGATAATTGCTATATTTTGCTTGTGATCAGTTATTACTTTTTCTATGTTCACGGGTAGTCAGTTTGTCCTATATTATGAAAAGTAAATCATCAAATTTAAATGTCTAATCTTTGGGAGGCTTTTATATTTCATCATAGGTTAAATTTTATCTTCTCTTTCACTGGCAACCGCATCTGATAAAATTTATCTCGTAGATTTTTTTTTTTTTAGGATTGTGTCTTTTTTTTTTCTTTATCTGATTCATCACTAAATATTCTTATCTGATTTCTCAAATGACATTTTCAGCCTTTTCTGACTGATTCCATATTATCTCTTGGTGCAACTCTCAAACCGGTAGTTTATTTAACAAACTGCTATGATCAGTCCTTCAGAGAATGCAATGGCAACCCACTCCAGTACTGTTGCCTGGAAAATCCCATGGGCAGAGGAGCCTGGTAGGCTGCAGTCCATGGGGTCGCTAAGAGTCCGACACTTTCACTTTTCACTTTCATGCATTGGAGAAGAAAATGGCAACCCACTCCAGTGTTCTTGCCTGGAGAATCCCAGGGATGGGGGAGGCTGGTGGGCTGCCGTCTATGGGGTTGCACAGAGTCGGACACGATGGAAGCGACTTAGCAGCAGCAGCAGGGTCAGTCCTTCACCAGGTGGTAATATTTCTTTTTAGTGATATTCCCCTTTTGAATAGAGTTAAAAGCTTTACTTTAAGATTTTAGATTTTGCTACGCTTAGTTTTCTCTCCAGTTATATACTGGAATTGAAATCATGTGTCATTTACTAGTGCCTTAACAAATCTATTTGTGGAACAGTTAATTTATGAGTTAAAATCGAGTGGAGCTATAATGATTCATAACTAAATTGTGCTAATAGCATTTGACTGTTATTTCCATGTTAAATACCTAACTTTGGAAAATTCTCCCTTTTAAGCAGAATTCGAAACACACCACTAATAAACCACATCTTGGAAGTTCCTTGAACTCCCTCTCTTTTGGCTAGTACAGTGTAATAAGCTTGGGACTTTCTGTCCAGCTTGTTTTCTTGAAATGTAAAGTATGACACAGTTGCCAGTACAAGCTCAGGAGTACAGAGTGTTTCTGAGAGAGAGCAGTGTTCACTCCTGGAGCATGTAGAGACTTTTTTCTTTTCCTTTCAGAGTAGCACAGAAGAGGGAAGATGCTGTCTCCAAAGAAGTGACTCGGAAACTCTCTGAAGCTGATAATAGGAAGATGTCTCGGAAGGAAAAGGATGAAAGGTTTGACTCCCTATTCCAAGTGTTTGTGGTAACCAGAAAGAGGGGTGTTTGTAGAAAATAAAGCTCTTTTGGTTTCTGCTTAAAGAACGTGGGTACCAGAATTGTCTGAGAGAAACGGTGGTGCTGTAGACGTTGTGGTAATGAGGATAGTTGACTTTCGGAGCGTTTATTACCACCAGATGCTTTCCTCCAAGGACCCCCCATGAGGTAGGTACTGTTGATTTCTCCACTTTACGCCTGAGGAGTCTGAGGCACAGAAAGCTGGGATAGCTTGCTCCACGGTCACAGATCAGGGTGTGTCAGGCCGGGGTAAGAATCGGGCAGTCTGACATGAGCCTGCACTGCCCTGCCCTGCTGGGTTTAGGAGCGCGCCGAGCTGTGTGCAGCGCTCGCCTCCGCTCGTGAGCTGCGTGACCTTCAGGGATCACCTGACCCCTGTGTCTGGAGGCTTTTACACTGTGTTCTGTGTAAGCGTTTCTAGGTGGTGGTATTTCTGCTCCTGAGCTTCCCTGGGCACATCTGGTTGCTGGTCATCTGCATTGTTTGGGAAAAAGAAAAGAATTGGGTTTGTCTCCTGTTGCCCAGTTCTTTGCCATCTTTATTAGCACCATCCCCAGTTTTTCCTGCCGGCTGCTGTTAGAAGTCTAATGAACTGTCTGACGTCTGAATACAAGTCTCTGAACGATGGAGTAAACTTGCGCTTAAGAGTTGCCAGATGGTTTAACAAAGTCACAAGCTGAGCCTGTTTTCATGGATTTTAAGTTTTAGTGTCCATAAGGTGCTTTGTGAAATGGAATTTTTATCCCACTTTGCTCCAGAAAGACTTTGTGGGGACTTACAATATTAAATTGCATATAAAACAAAGCAGTACAATTGTAAAAGATCAGAAACCGGTGAAAAGTAAGAAGAGGTGGATGAATGAGGACCTCAGGGTTAGTTACAGCAGTTGGGCACGGAACCTAGCTCCGAGCTTCCAAGTGTCAGAGGGTACATCTGAGGTCATCCAGCTTTCATTGTCGGATGAGAAGCAGCAGGCATGTCCTTCTGAAGAGAAACTTTCCTGGCACTGAATCTTGGATGGACTTTATCAAGTGGATCCTTACTTAAGGGACACAGAGTAACTTAATGAACAGTGTCTTCTACAGTGGTTTTGGACAGGCACCAAAACATTACTGAAGTGATTATGTCTTATGAATCCTTCATAAAACTGAAGGAACACTATTAAAGTCCCGAGAGCAAAGGCCTGATTTTTAGGGAGCAGCCCTAAGGACTTCTGGCTCTGCGTAACTTTTTGATCACAAATTTTTGCATAGGGATAGATACTAGAGAATCTAGACCACTTTTTTTTTAACCTTTTTATTGAATTACATTAGAACAGTGGTTCTTAAATTGGAGTGCACTTTATAGTTACCCAAATTTCAAAATGCTTTTTATAAGCTTTTACAAGTCTTAGAGATTTTAGATGACTAATTATATCAGAGAGGGCAAATGGGTTTCTCTGCCCACCAAAGACTTCCTGATTTGGTCTGGTACTTGCTCTTTGTCCTGGGATGTGTCTCAGAATCTTTCTCAGCATGGTAGAAAGGTAGCCTTGACCAGCAGATCAGTTGGATTCGGAAATGAAGCCTCTTTGCTATTGGCTGGATCAGATATTTCAGATTAGGGTGAAGTGGAGGTTTATTGATATTTAAAATTCAGAGCATCAGAAAATTATAAAGTCTCTGTTCTTGTCATCAGTAGAAATTTGTGCTGTTTGTAATTGTGGCCTCTCACAAAGGCCACACTGGATACAGTTGTACCAAGGTCTGTAGTCTTTATTGATACGGTAACTGGATCCACAACTCCCTTTAAGATCTAGTGTTTTTTCTCTCTCAAAAGACTAGTTGCTTCCGAGAGATTTAAGAGAAAGCTTATTGGCATGTTTCTACCCAGATGGATATCTCTTGAAGCTCCATCTACAATCATTTGGAATATGGATTATGTGCCACTTGGAACTGCTTTTCCATCTATGCAAGGATGAAAACTAGCAGAGGAGGATCAGATTCATTAATGCTTGTCCCAGGATATGAATGTAATTTCTCCTTGACTTACTGATGGTCCATTGTTCAGTATTATCAGATTGTAAGACTTGTTGAGTATGGTCTCCGCTTCTCTCCTGTTTTCGGAAGTCCTCCTTGGACAAAGGACTATTTGAGAAGTGCTCTCCCAAACTAGGTTTCTTACCAGTGAGGCTCTGGCAGAACCACCGCTGCTGAGGGGGACTGGGAGTCCTAACTTTCAAAATAAACCAGGATATGGCTGGACTAGAAAAAGCTCTGAGAGCTGCCCGACAGTCCTAACTGGGTATACCCCCATGTAACACATGGCCCTTGGGAGCTGGGACAGCCTAGACGATTGAACCACTCTTTCATGAAAAACACCTTGAAGTTAGTTCTGATTCAGGGCTTGGCAGGGAGTTTGGGAGAAGCGCTGTGGTAGAGGCAGGATAATTTAATTGCTAACAGTAAAGTCATGCCTGTAGCCTATTTAAGGAGCCTGTCTTCACTGGGTCTTGTCCCAAAGTCTTAAAAACAGTGTTTTGTAGCATTAAACCATGTGGAGACTGTGGACATTTCTGGACCAGGCTGGTGTTTTCTTTGATCATTGATAAAATGGAACATTGTATTAATTCCAAATCATGTATTTTTTTAAATTTACATTTAAACTTCTCTGAAATCAGAAGCTGCTTTATAGTTGATAGCTGCATTTAATGTAAGGTCCTTCACCTCTCCCAAACTTCACAGTAGACTAAGATTTATTAAGTTGATGGTATCCACAGAATCAAGGAAACATGGCATATATATTAGAAACCACAGATGTCTTCCAATGAAGACAAGGAGCTAATACCTTTCATTTAGCTCCTTTATAGCCATGCTTGTTGACTTTGCATTACAACAGTTGGTCAATAAAACAGGGCAGTTACAATGACATTAGCCATTGTGCTATCCTTAGGATTAGTTGGGGGTACCACGTGGCCCCAGAGTAATGTATTTTTCTGGGGGAGAAAGCATCAATGGCAGTGATTTTGAGCCTTTTAGATAATGAACCACAGTAAAAATATTTTACTGTTTGACCAAATGCTTTTACATACACACATGTAAATGTTCCATAGAACAAAATTATTACCCTATTGCATTTGATACACTTGATACTTTTCTGTTTTTTTCCTATTTCATGTTTTTTTAACATGTTGGTCACAACTCACTCAGTAATTTTTCCTGAACAGTGGGTCCACTCAGTTGATTTCACATCCCATTACTAGGTTAGAACCTACCTACTCTTTGAAAAATTGCTTTACAAAGTTAATTAACTGAGGAGAATAAAGATCCCCTTATTCACAGGCACCCTGGAACTTCCTTTTGCCCCTGTGAAATGGTAAAAGAAAAGTGGATTAAGTAAAAAGTAGGTGGGTTTCATAGGAGTAAAAATCCTCCTAATGATCAAGCAGATTCTTAGTTCGAATTAAGTAAAGGTGGCTAAAGAGAGCACAGACAAGTCTGTTTCTGTGATGCCACAGCTGGTTTTGTCCATGGGCTTGTCTTAAGGTGTAACATCAAAGGCTGAGCTGTGTAGACTGTAGAGTCTCAAGCCTGCAAACGGCCGAGGAGGCCCTTTCAGGCTGCTAATCAATAGTTTGTTTTCGGTGAGTATCTAGAGAAAGATGCCTATTTTGGTTGCTGATAAAACCAAGCTAATTGTGATTAATCAGTTCCTTCCTCCAAAGCTTAAACTGCTGGGAAAAAATGTAATATACCCAGCTGCTTGAGCATCGATAAACGTTAGTTCCCTGACCAGGGACTGAACCCCGGCCCTGGCATTGAAAGCACTGAATCCTGACTACTAGACCACCAAGGAATTTCTGAGCATCGATAAAGTGAAATATCTTTTTTAGTAGAATAAAGGGGACAATGCTGACTGAATTTAATATTCTGCCCAGAACACTTAAGGAAGAACTTATCTTATAATGAGCTCGAACCATGTGGTATTTAACATTTTTAGTGCCTACTGAAAAACTAAATGACTTGTTTCTGTGTCCACAGAATCTTGTGGAAGAAGAATGAAGTTGCTGATTATGAAGCTACAACATTTTCCATCTTCTATAATAACACCCTATTTCTGGTCTTGGTCATTGTTGCTTCCTTCTTTATACTGAAGAACTTCAACCCCACAGTGTATCCTTTTAAAGGTTTATTATCCTTTTTAGAAGTCTAGAAACAGTTCATTTTGGTTTTTATTTGTCTGAGTGGTTTTTGGTAACAAAAACTGCAAAGGGAGTCAGTCCCTTAATAAGCACTGTGACCTTAGGCATGTTTCTGGATGTTTAAGGGCTTTTGGTTTGATTTGAAGTTCTTTTAATTTTATGATCAAGACTTCATGATAAATAATGAGTATTGCAAAGCAGTCTTACATGTATGATGATGTGTACCTGCTTGGTTAAAAAAAGACAAATATGGCTAAGTTAAGTAGCCAAAGCAAACTTGCCTTCTGTGACAGCTCCTGGCATGAGCCCTGTATCTGCTGGTACTTTGGGGCTTTGGGGTCGGGTGGATAGCCAGTGGAGTTACATTGGCACATTTCATAACAGCTTAATAGTGTTTCAAGTTGCTCTTAAATTGAGCTTTTGGGCAAGAATCAGTCTTCTCTTGTTAAGGTAATTTATTAAAAGTGTTATCCAGGAATGTGCAGCCAAATTTTCAACAGTAGGAGATTCTGATGTAATAAAATAGCGGATACTCTCCAACTTTTATCTTCTGGGAATACTGGAGTGATTTGCCCCGAACACTCTAGCCCTTAGACAGAGTGGCTGCAAACTTTGTGAACCTCCTTGCTTTCACAGGCCAGCTGTAGCCAAAACACTGATGGACAAGGGAAACTTATTTTTCCTTTGCTCTTGGTGCGGGGGTTGGTAAAGAAATCAAGCCTCTTCTTCCTCGCTGTGTTCTTTGATCAGCTCTTTTGCTGAAGGTTAAATGGAATTCAGATGTTTTCTTTGTGATCATGCATCCTAGGTTTGTCTCAAGTGTTTTCTGTTGGAACATATTTCCTGTGAATGTTCTTCATTCTTTATAGTCTCCTCTCTGGTAAATTGTATTTGCAGACAATGGGACTGCACATTACTGTCATTAGACAGTGTGTCAGGAGGAAAACAGTGCATTCCAAGGAGGTGGGTTCTTTTTGTTTTGCTGAAAACCAATCTGGGGTTGATTTTTCCTTAACACTGAATTCTTATAGGAACTACATTTTGTCCATGAGTGCTTCCTCAGGCCTCATCGCCCTCCTGTCCACTGGCTCCAAGTAGACTGCCTCAGCTTTGCCACCCCCTCCTCCCCACAAACTTTGTGTCCGTGGGTGGCCTGTGGTGTGCGGAAAAGTAGCAGGGTGGTCAGGGTGGAAGACACGCAAGCTGTTTGTATAAGTATGGAGTTTGAAAAACCCAACAAAATGTAATTCAATATTTGTTTATTGGCTCTTTTTTTTTTTTGGACAGATTGTTGAAATTAAATGAATTGAAAGGGAAACTCAGAGTACCAGGACATTTATTAAAAGGCAAAAAAGTGTTGCAATGTGTTATAATCACAAGAGGAGAAAATAACTTGTTTCCTGGATTTGTCAGAGGTCACAGTAACCTGGACTGAGCTGTTATTATTTATAATAGTAGCGAGAAGTTAATAACTGGTTCTCTGTGTTCCAAGCACAATATTACAACTTTTTTTTTTTGTTGTTTTGAACCATAAATATCAGAATGAATCGTCTCCCTCCGGGGGACTGAACAGAAGCATCATGCTTGCAAGTCTCTGACTTTGAAATAACTCAGTTAAAACATGGTTTCTCCAACTTGGAGAAGAGAAACTTGTGGAAAAGTTGTGTTGTTGGTTTTTTTTTTTTTTTAAGAAGAAACGCAGCCAAGGTAATAACCTAAAAATAGTACCTAGGCATATGAGAGTTGTCCCCTGGGGTTAAACCACACAGTGTTCAGCTCTGTAGCATTAGCCCTGGGTGGGTGTCCAGGGAGCTTAGCTCAACCCTCCCATGTTGGTTTGACCTGTTAAGAGAACGGAATCATTGTTTCCTCTTGACCAGGGTCTCACATCACTGGAGGAATGTTGAGTAAGAGAGTCTCTTTCCTGAATATTGACGTGTAGGAGACCAAAGTAATTTTTGTGATCTTAGTTCTGGAATTCTAAAAACTCTCCAAGGAATTACAGTGGTTTTGGTACTGCTCAGCATTTTTCCATGAGGACTTTCATAAATTTGACCTTTTAGTCCACAAGTTCCCATCAGTTGTAAACAAAAGACTGATCTCTTCAGTCCTGGTGGGTTCAGCCAAGAGCAGTCTCCTGCATTTTTTAACCAGTGTGTTTACAGGTAATTGTTTTTGCATGATTTGAAAAAGTTTGAGCTTTTCTTGAATTTTCATCACTTAAAAGGTTATGGACTCACAGGTGATACTAGCTTTTGACCACATTCGGTACCTTTCTATAAGCAGTTTGTTCTTATTGTTGTTTAGTCGCTACATTGTGTCCAACTCTGTGACCCCATGGACTGTAGCTCACCAGGCTCCTCTGTCCATGGATTTTCCAGGCAAGAACACTGGAGTGGGTTGCTGTTTCCTTCTCCAGGGGATCTTCCCGACCCAGGGATCGAACTTTACATTTGGGTATCCCATTCTACAAGCAATACCTCAAAGGAAATATGTTCCCAGTTTCTAATCTTAACTTTAATATTTGGTTTCCACTTCTAAATTTAAGGTAAATGTTGCATTCACTGCTTATAGAAAGATACTCACCAGGAGTTCATCTTCTGTTTCCATCTGTTAGAAGTTTGGGGAGGCCACCTAAGAACCTGGAAGGAAAGTGAGCTGGGAGTACATTTGCCTAGTGACCCAGATCATCGTTTTCAGCTGAGGATTATAGTTGGTCGCGGCTTCTAGAAGTTTGCAGCTCTTTACTTTGCTCTGGTGCACTGTTACCTGTGCCATCCCTGAATAATATGGAGTGAATGGGGGGAAAGTCAGAAGTACCCTGCAAAAGTGTCAGTATGGCACATAAGAATTAATTATGTTTCAACTTTTTTCCCCTGTTGATTAATGAGTCAAACAGTTTGACTGGTGACCTGCTGTTTATACCAAGTGTATTTGCTTATTTGACAAAATGACTGTTTAACAAGCCACCAGTATTTACTATTTGTTACCAAAGTTGGGCCAATTTTTTACCTGTAATTTTTAACGTGCAGGTAAAAAATTGCCACTAGATGGCAGTGCCTGTACAGATGGGAAAAAATTAGTGTTATAATACAGGATACCTGAGATGGGGGGCCGAAATAGGGGCATCAGTGTTACATTCTTGGTAAATTGTCTCTTGAATTAATAAACTGAATAATTTGTAGGAAAGTGAGGAAGCAAAATCTGGTTTTGTTCCTGATTTTTTCCTATGGCACTCTTTGTTTTTAATCATAGTAATAGTTTCTGTACTGTTAGATAAATTTCTATGTATCAGTTTCTGATGGTTCCACAGTTTCCATTAAGCACCTGCCATGCAGTGCTTTACTGTTGGGAGTTCCAAAACCTTTCCCCCATTCCTCTCCCCGTCATTTGGAAGGACTAGCGCACAGAATTATGATGTACTGGATCTGGCTTAGTTGGTAAAAACCAGCTGTAGAATTTTTATCTTAAAAATACCCCATATCCAACACCAGGAGAATTAAAGAGGTTTTACTCTAATTGGGATTCAGAGTGGTTTAATTCCAGTTTTGACACCCCTTGTGATAAGTGCTGGAACATTTTACATTTCCCTGTTTTTAGTTTCTTTATTCATTATAACTTAATAAGAACTTGGGTTGAAATAATTCTTAGCCAGTAAAAATTTACTGCTTGACCTATTTGGTATATTATTCTAACTTGGCTAGAATAATTTGAAACAAGTTTGAGGTTAACAAATACGGAGGTTGGATTTATACTCAAAATTCTTGTGAAAGGTCTTGCTTTTTTTTTTTTTTTTTTGGCTGCACCGCAAGCCTTGAAGGATCTTAGTTCACCAGCCATGGATCAAACCCAAGCCCTCTGCATTGGAAGCGAGGGGTTTCAGCCACTGGACCGCCAGGGAAGTCCCCATAGCCAAGCTTTTTTAACTTAAAAAGTCAAACACTTTTCACTTTAAAGCTAAAGGAAAAAAGCACCCCTGAAAGACCTCTAGACGGGAGCACAACATCCTGGATTCCAGGCCTCGTTCTGCCATCACCTTGCGTGTGAGTTGGGGCGAGTCCTTTAATATCATCAGGTCTGGGTTCCTCATTGGCAAGGAGCAGGGTGGGCTCAAGGCCGGTGAAGGCCGGTCAAAGCCCTGACGTCTCTCCAGTGACCCCTGGTGCACACCACGGATGAAGACGAAGTGGCAGTTCTCAAAGTGGGACGCCAGACACAGGGCTGCTAGCTTTTATTTCCCTTGGCCGAAGTTTCGGTATGTGGCTGGCTGCCACCCAGGTTACCCTTTGGAATGGTATGTTCTCTGCCAAGGAAGTCTTTCCAGAAAAGAAGAAAATGAGAGTGCATGGAAATTTTTCTTAAGGATAAAATTGTGAACTGTATTTATCCAGTATATTCACCATGGCAGATGATTTGAGTATTAAACTGTATGTTCCCATGGTCAAGCAGTAATGTTTGTTTGATTTAATTTGCAGTTGTTTTTTTTTTTAATAATGACATCTCTTTATTTTCGGCTGTCCTGGGTCTGCTTTGCTGCCTGCAGGCTTTCTCTAGTTAGAGAGCAGTGGCTTCTTGTTGTGGAGCATGGGCTCTAGAGTGCGAGGCCTCAGCCGTGGTGCGTGGCTTAGCTGCTCCGCATCATGGGGGATCTTAGTTCCTGGACCGGGGACTGAACCCATGTTCACTGCATTGGCAGGCAGATTCTTAACCACTGGACCACTAGCAAAGTCCCTACAGGTTTCTTTTAAATGAGTTTGAGAACGTTTAACCTTAGTACCGAATATTTCTAAAATCCAAGGAGAAATATCTTCAGTAGCTAATCAGTTTATCCATTAACAGAAGAAAAGTTTGGGTTACAATTTAAATCTTTTTGTAAAGCTATTTCTGTTAGGTATCATTCAGTGAGGCTTACCTGCCAGCATTATTTTTATTTAGATTCTTACTGCCTGTTTTGTAAAGATATATATATATATATGACCTTCTAGTGATAGACCAGATAAAAACTAATTGTGAGATTAAATACATGTATGCTTTTATTACTCAAAGCAAATAAATTGCAATTCCAATTAAATGACTTCAGCTCATTTATGCATACAGTAGTTCACTGGATTGATTGAACACACAATGAACAACTGAAAAATGACCCATTTCCATTATTAATCTGATACTTTTGGACAGAAAACCCCAAACTATTTCTCTATTAGAATACAGGTAATAGTAATCAAAAAGAAAATCTGTTGGTATTTCATACTAACATTTTAAGATTAGAAAACCATGAAATACATATCTGGAAATGATGGCAGAAAATAGCATTTTAAGCTGATAGTATACTTCTGTAAGTTTCAGTGATTTCTACTTGGGTGGACCTGTTGGCCAGTAAATTAAATTAGAATTTTGTACATGCTCAGGTGTCCAAATAGAGATATAGGACCTCCCCCCTTGACATACACCTTCAAACTAGAAAAAAGTTTTCTCACTCCTTACAGGTATACACACAATATACTCAGGTTTTCTCTAGTGGTATATTCATGAGGGTAGGCAGCCAATAGTGGCAGGGCTGGATACCTCAGCTGAGTGCCACAAGGCTAGGCCCCATTAATCCATGCAAAGAGGTTTCATGCGTATAATTTAATGCACATAGTGTGATTATGGAGTCGGAAGTTCTTTAACATTTGCTTTTCTTTGGGTGTGTTACTTTACCCAGCATATGTTGAGTAGTGGCAGCATTTTCACAAAGCCCATGATTTAATTTCATGTTAAAAACACCAAGCATTATGCTGTAAAATCCCAGTGCTAATTGAACAGCAAACATTTGCCTTTCTGGATGTTTTTACAGGTTTACTTACAAAAGTGAGCATGTGTATATTTATTTTTAAAGCTCAAATATTTAAACTTGCAGAAGCTGTGCCTACAAGCAGTCAAAAAGTATAAAGCAGGTTTTAGTAAAATGTAGAAAAAAATGAGTACTTCATTGCAGGTACATTTTATTCAAAGCAAAGCTTCTGTATTAGTGTAATTCTTGCTTTCATAAATTAACCAAACTATCTCTAGTTAAAGATGGGGGTCTTCATCCTCTTACCGTCTCTCCATGTAAATGAACATATTATTAGAATCCTAACAGACACTTTGGAGATTCTGCTATACAGGGCCATTTCTGAGGCCAAGCAACGCTAAAAGGTAATGAAAGCAGATGGTAATTTATGAAACAACGTGAATGTGCAAATAGAAAAAAAAATACAGTAAAATTGTTTCATCTGATTCTCTCAAGCAAGACTTCTGAGTGAACATAGCCTCCTCTTTCTGATGCAATCCACACCGAATCTGTGGATTTTGTAATATATCCGTGCCTGAAGGTAATATGTCTTTTCCCTGCCATATACTTAACTTTGCCTAAACATGAGGTGTACAGAGCAATGTAGGTGACTCCAGTCCAAGGTAAGAAAATAGAATGGATTTTCCTGTTTGTGAGTTTTCAGGTATGTTCATAATTTTAGGTGCACAGTGGTGGCGACAGCAGACACCTCAGAATCCAGGGACACTAGAGGTTGAGCGGTGGGCTGCTAAGTGATTCAAAACACTGGCTAGTAACACCATCCTGTACAGACCTGTTTTACCCAGGCAGCTCCTTGGGGCCCATGCACTGCCTTAGGATCTATAGTCCTTTTTGCTGTAGGGCTTGTTGCGCAATATGTTATCAATCTCGTTTACCACGTGTGATGTCATCTTTGGGAGAACCTGAGAGCACAAGAAGAACAAAGGATGTAGTCAGTACTTGGTACTTGATTTTTGTACTAAATGTTGAGTGGCATCATCTAGATTTGGCTATGTTTACAAATCACCACCAAATGCTGCCTTCCCAGCATGCAGGAAGCTCCATAAGGTCAGGCCCTGTCTCTTCACACTGCAGCTCTAGAGCCTGTAAGGGTGCTTGGCCCTTAGTAGGTGCTCATAATTTATTGGTTGTCATAGAAATATAGAATACCTAGAGCAGCTCTGTCCAGTAGAAATGAAATGAGAGCCATATATGTAATTTTAGATTTTCTAGTGGCCACAGTAATACAAGTGGGAAGAAGCAGGTGAAATTAATACACATTTTACTCCACTAGAGTTGAAATATCATTTGAACTTGTAGTCAGTATAGAATGTAATTAAGATGTTCTGCGTGTTTTTAAGCCTTTCAGACCCAGTGTACGTTTTACACTTTTAATTCCATTTGGATTAGCTGCCTTATGCTCAATGGCCACGTGTGGCCGGAGGCTACAGTAGTGGACAGCATGGGTCTAGAGACTGTGATTCTAGCTGGTGGGCAGAACCCTGGTATAGGAGAGCCACAGGTTAACCGGCATCCCAGGCTGACGGAAGAGCATGAAGTGAAGTCTGAATGGGGTGATACAAGTGGAGTGTGAGTATGGGAGGTGTGGAGATGATGGGAATAGGGAAGTTGTAAAGAGTGAAGCCTTGAATGCTGTTTTTTGGAGTTGGAATTTATGCAGTAGGTGGTGGGGAAACTCTCAGGACTTCTCAGCTGGGAATGACCCCACCAGACACCTGGACGTATTCTGAAGGATGAGTTGGAAGGAGATTGAAAGGGGATACAGATGTTAGAAATACTCCAATCACAGCCAGACACTAAGAGCCTTAACTAGGCTGTAGCGTGTGCATACTCAAGTCATGTTCGACTCTGTGACCCCATGGACTGTAGCCTGCCAAGCTCCTCTGTCCATAGGATTTCCCAGGTGAGAACACTCAAGTGGGTTGCCATTTCCTACTCAACGGGATTTTCCCAACCCAGAGATGGAACCCGTGTGTCTTGTGTCTCCTGCACTGGCAGGCAGATTCTTTACCGTGGCAGCACTTGGCAAAACAGTGGTGGGGGAGGAGAAAAAGAGTGACTCGGAGAGAGATTTTGGAAGCTGACGGTGATCTCAAGACTGGGTGACTAGGAACATACTGGTGTAGGTAACTGTTGAGAGACCACAGGAGGAGAGGTTAGGAGCATGAGAAGTTTGGGGCGGGTAGGCAGTGGATATGCTGAGGTTAAAGTGCCTGTAGGACGCCATGGAGAGGTGGCTTGCAGGACTGGAGTTGAGAATTTGCAAGTTATTTGCACAGTCATGCTCCCTGAAGCCCTGGGAAAGGATGAGCTCATCTGGGGACAGCTCATGTTTATTGCACGAAGTGCGCCAAGGGCACGCATTACACCACAAGGCAAGAGACAAAGGCAGGCTTTCTTGCAGGAATAGTCTGACCCTGTGTGGAGACCGTGGTGAAATACATTCCCAATGACCGACTCTGCGTCTCAGCCTCACCCTTCAGTCATTGGCCAGGGTGACCTTGTCTCAGCGCTCGCCTTGGAACCCGCAGGGCCTGGCTGGATGGCAGAGCGCCTTCCTCACTGGTCTGTAACATTCTCCCCTCTGAAGCTAAAGGAGAGGCTGGTTTCCCACCAGCTCTGGAGCCTCAGAGGATCTAAACTATTGTGCCATTTACAGTGAGACACAACAGTGAAACTCAAATCTAGAAACTGGACTTGTCAGAAGTTTTGTGTCTAAAATCAAGTGGGTTAGCCGTGGGAGGAAAAGGATTCTTTATTTATTATACCAATAAGAGATCTAAACATTAGAAAAGTGAAATCATAAAAGTACTTGAATAAAACATGAAATATAGATATGTATACATACGTATGTATGTGTATATATACGCTTGTATGTATGTGTATATATACACGTTTGTGTATGTGTGTGTATATATATATATATATACACACACACACACACAAGACCTAAATATTCAAGAGAAGTCACACATTCAGCATTTTATGTGAAGTTGCCCAATTTTTTAATGTTGGCAACTATTTCAAAACATTTTCATCTACAGATCACACAAACATCCCACGAGCTAGCAGCTTTGCAGGCGTAGTGTTATTGTGACTAGCAATTAGGAGGTGAAGAAGGGTCTGGGCGGCACTGCGGGGCCGGCAGGTATTAGGGAAGTCCTCCCAGAACTGGGTCACTGTCGAGCTGGACCTGGGGGATGGAGCAGGATTTGGCAGTCAGGGGTGGTGGACACTGTAGGTGGAGGACCACTATTCTGGGGATTCGGACATCCTGGGGGAGGTAAGCGAGGGGGTGGGGGCCGGGGGAGATGAGCCCTGGCCCAACTGGAGAAGGCCCAACTGCTGAGAAGCCTGGACTTCTCTGAGTAGGTGGTGGGGAACTCAAGAGGGGCTCTAAGGCTGGAGGATGGGGACCTGTGCCGGAGGGCTGCCTGCAGCTGGGCTTCTCTCCAGTCTCGTGTGTTGATGCTCTGATTGATAAATGCCCCTCCAGTTTATGCTCACCTTAGGCACACTCATTCCTTGGAGCAGCTGCCTTCCTTTGCCCATTACAAACTTCCTTTCTTATAGCCCCAGACACTGCACTCATTCAATTTCTCCTACCACTGCTGGGAGCCCCCAGCCATCCAATCTACTCTCACTGTACGGAGGGGTCCAGTCACAGCTTGCCAAGGGCGGAATCTCTGGTGCTGGGCTCACGAGAGGTGGGGTAGGAAGGGAGAGAGGACACTGGAATGTCAGCTCCTTGAAGGCTGAGTGATGTGTGTCTGCTTTCCTGTGGTGTACCCAGTGCTGGCTACAGAGCAAGCTTGCCTAATCCACTCTTTCTCAGGCAGCCCGTGAACTCTTGAGGGCAGTGACCTGTACTTATCTCAGAACGCTCTCTGCCTAACATGGTGCCAGACACAGAATAAGCACTAAATATGTATTGTTGATCAGTTGCTCCATCGTTCTGACTCTGCAGCCCCATGAACTGCAGCATGCCAGAACTCCCTGTCCTTCACTATCTCTCAGAGTTTGCTCAATATATATTAGTGGAATTGAAATCACTGGATTGTATTTCAGTTCCTTTGTGTATAGACTGTTCCTCTGTTTCCTCCTCCTCATTGTGTAGCCTGTATCTGTTCCCAAAGCATAAGTGACAAAAAGAGAAGATGGGAGTGACTTGCATAAGAGGATCATTCCCCAAGCAGAGACGGGGAACCCCACAATCCAGCAAGAGTTGTGGGCCTGGG